GATATCGTCTTCTTTTGGAAGGCCAAACAAAGTAGTTTCGCTTTCACAACGAAACACACAGCGCCTTCACGACATGGCGGCAGCAGCAATACTACAGCGAGAATAAAAGTTATGACTTCTTTCTTTGCGTGAACATTTGGGCGGCGTTATGCAAATCTTTCCACATTGTGACGTAGACATGTGGGGGCGTGTTAGAACGAGCCGTTTTAGGGCGTGTTCACACTAGGGGTCTTTTTTGAAGAGACCAGCGTCTGTTTTACATTATAATCCTATGGAGTAAACCTGTTTTCAAAACAAAAATGTCCTGAGCGCTTTTTTAAACGCCACCGCCAGCATCTTTTTCTGCAGCTCAGAGCGTCTTTTCAAGTTGAAAGAAGTTTAACTTTTCTGAAAAAAACGCCCTACTTCAAGCGCCTTTTTGACAGCTGACCAATGACAAGCGAGTGAGACCTGTCGTTTCCATAACAAGAACAAGAAAAAATGGAGAAGGTGCCAGTAGATAAACTGATTGTACTAGTTTCGGAGCACAAAATATTTAGTATAATAATAATGTTTTAATGTTTAGTCTAAAATATGCCGCAAACCGTGCATCATCCAACCGGAGCTCCTGGACTAAATTGTTGTAAGCGCCATACTGGTTCCCCGTATAATGTCGTGCACCCACAAACGTCGTTGTAAACCGACATTCTCTTCTCCGTTAACTTCAAAAGCCAACGCAAGAGCCAATTTCCTCTTTCTCGACATTTTTGCACCACACAGCGCTAGGCTACTGTTGCAGATGTTGCTATAGCAACAAACGACTCCCTCGGCTGCTATTTGTAACAGAAACGCTACCAGCTTTTTTTTTTCACAAAAAAAAAAACCGTCAACTTTTTTTTTCTCAAAAAAGACGCCAAGTGTGAAAATAGCCTTAGGTCGGCGTGGTTGACTCTTAACTTTTATAAAGAATATCTCTTTGGATTTGAGACTTTAGTCTTTGCAACTTTACAGATCTTCTTTAAGCACCAAGAGCTTGTAACACTTCAAAAGAGAAAGGAAAAATTGAAATCGCATCATATGACCCCTTAAGAATGGTTGTATAATCAAATATACTGTTGAACACAAACAGAAGTATTCCAAAAGAAAAGTTTATTCGAGGTAAATGATGACCAGGTAAATTACAGTAGAGCAAGCGGCCAGAATCCTAATAACTTTACATTACTTTTTATGAACAAATCAGCTTCAAGGCTTTGACTTAATAAAACCTTATCCTAAAAGAACTATAAATAAACATATAAGTTCTTACCCTTTAACTATTAAAGTAAACTAAGTATATTTTAACGTAAAGGAGTCGAATTTGCTGCCCTAGTGAATGTTTATGTGCTACAGTATCTAACGTTACATATAACCACTAGATGGCACAACAGCACATATTGACTGCAAATTAATAATTTCAGTTCTGAATCGACTAGTTATTATTTTAGGATTATTATAATTATATTTTAGGATTATAACAAGATCTTAGATTTATCTGTGAAATATAAGTTCAATACCTAAGTTATGTTGGCTATTTCAGTGAAAAGAGTGTTCTGCGAAAAACGTTTAAATATTTTGTAAAAGAAACAACGATAGTTACCAGCATTACCAGGAGAGCATAAAGTGAAGCCTATGGAAGCCCGTTTCCGCCACAGTTGAGAAAAAATATAATTCTGTAAGTCATAATAATGAGAAACTTTCTCAAAATTATGACTTAGTATCTCGTTATATTGAGAAACTTTCTCGTAATAATGACTTAGTTTCTCGTAATAATGAGAAACTTTCTCGTGATTTAGCCTAATCCACAAAAAAAAGAAGAAAAAAAAGACTTACTCGACGCATGCGCAACGCAAGAGTGACAGCACGAGAAAGTTTCTCATTATTACGAGAAACTAAGTCATTATTACGAGAACGTTTCCGATCTTAACGAGATACTAAGTCATAATTTTGAGAAAGTTTCTCATTATTATGACTTACAGAATTATATTTTTCCTCAACTGTGGCGGAAACGGGCTTCCATATGAAGCTGATATTGGCGCGAAAATCAAACGGCAGAGGCGACCGTTTATTTTCTGTCAAGGTTTTGATTGCTCCTGAGGTGAGTAAATGTAATTTTTTTCCCACTATATAAAACACTTAAATGTTTTAAGAATGGTTGTATAATCAAATATACTATTGAACACAAATAGAAATATTCCAAAAGAAAAGTTTATTGGAGGTAAATGATGACCAGGTAAACTGTTACAGTAGAGCCAAGCGGCCAGAATCCTTCTACGCTACTTTTTATGAACAAATCAGCTTCAGGGCTTAGACTTAATAAAACGTTATCATAAAAGCACTATAAATAAACATCTACGTTCTTAACGTTAAACTATTAAAGTTAAACTAAGTATATTTTGACGTAAAGGAGTCGAATTTGCTGCCCTAGTTAATGTTTATGTGCTACAGTATCTAACGTTACATCACTAGATGGCACAACAGCCGATCTAGATCGGCTAGATTACTATTTTAAGAGTATGATAATGATATTTTAGGATTTTAAGATATTTTAGATTAATCTGTGACATAGAAGTTAAATACCTAAGTTATGTAGCTCAGTGAAAAATGTGTAGGCTATGTTGTGAAAAACGTGTATTATACTGTACTGTATAATGTCTACATTTTTTGTTGTTATAATTTTATACTTAGCAAGGCTCGAAATTGCGCCCATTTTGGTCGCATATGCTCCCGAAATTGAATCTGTGCGACCTCAAAATATATTTGGGTCTTCTTCAGCCCTTTCTTTTTCTCGAGGTAGTTAGCGGAAAGCAGTGACTGAGAGATTGACAGCTAATATTAACCAATACAAAATCTGCATTAAAGTTAAGAATGTAAGGATAAAATCTGTTAATATATAATTTGTAGTTGTGGTGCTCATACATTTTTGGTGAGTGCTCCTAAATTTTTGCTGGTGCTCCTAACTTTTTGAAGTTGGGAGCACCAGTGCTACCAAGTAAAAAAGTTAATTTCGAGCCCTGCTTAGGAATTTATTATTTGGAGAAATATTTAGCAATAGTAATTTACTATTGCTTTAGCACATTTGGTTTATTTTCACAGTACTTTTGAGGCCTATTGAAGGTTTTCTCTTGTTATTTTCTGAAGCTCTGAGACAGATGTTTTGTAGCAGCACTGAAGAGGTGACCCCGGGTTCGAGCTCTGAGGCCGGGCCGAGCAGCAGCACTCTAACCCCACATAACCTGAATGACTACAGCCATGTAACCCGTAGACAGCAGGATCCTCCATCATCTTCTGGCCTACTGACTTCGCACAGATCCGATGATGTCAGGAACAGTGTGTGTCCAGGATCAAGCATTGCCACTGATACTGGTGCTCTGACAGCTGTGTTCACAGACACAACACCGATTGGAGGTGACCGAGAAACTGAAAGCTATAACACATGAAATAAATGGGTAAAATCTAGATAAAACAAACTGAGCATG